ACCCTCCCTCTTTAACAGGTACCACGAATTTAAATTTGAATTATGATAAAAATATGAATTTTTTATAACAGTTGCTTATTATTTGGAGACGTAAAAATTAAAATCTAATAATTTTTTAGATACTAGTTACCAACAGTGAAACACCTTTATTTATAAGTGTTCATCGATTTCTTTTAAAAAGTTTTCATGACACCATCTCTATATTTTGTATGTTATTTACCTTTTTTATTGCCTAGACCAGAGAAGACAGGTTATTTCTAGCTATGAAAGTTCATTGACTTCCGTTTAAATAGTCAAAATAAAAAACGTTTTTTTAAATTTTATATTATTTTTTTTATTCCTNAAACTTGAAAATTATTGTAGAAGTATGCAATATATAACATTATATGATGAAATACTTACTTTAGTGCTGTCACAATTATTTTTACAACACCTTTTTCGTTTATGCGGTAGAATGTTACCGTTGATAAAAACATCTGTGTTGTAGTGTTAATAAATAAATCTGAGGTTTTTTTTCTAGTGTGTTGGATTATTATATATACATGATGCTGTACATAAAATTCACTTATTACAACTTGGGTACGTCATCAATTAGAAGTTCGTCAAACTTTTGTTGTTTTGTAAAAGCATGCTAGTAAGTATTGATTTAATAAAAAATAATTATCTGCTCACCTCAATAATTCCTTAAAAACGAAATTTTTTACCGTAGTTCTATCTTTTTCATGACCTAAGAAAATTTTCAATGAATACCATGATCGAACTCTTGACATAGATACGTAAAGTTGACCATGATTAAAAACATCTATTCTAAGATCTATGCCTATTTTGTTAAATGTTTGTCCTTGAGATTTATTAATAGTCATTGCGGAAGCTAGCATAACAGGAAATTGTCGTCTTTTAATGGTAAATGGATATTCATTTTCACAATATAGAATAATATGGTTTAAAAAAACGACATTATTTAACTTGTCTCCTGTTAATACTTTACATTTCAGCAAGTGGTTAGAAAAGTCAATTATTTGCAATCTCGTTCCATTGCATAAACCTTCATTGACACTAATATTTCTTATCAACATAACGATACAATTTTTTCTTATACGTATAAATCAATAAATTGTAAGTTTTCATGTCTTTTAAAACTTTCTAACCTTGAAAATCCTTTTTTAACATTTTTATAAATTTCCTTTATTTTACATTTACTGTCAATTCTTGTACGTCTGTTTGAATGTATTATAACGGAAAATTCCGTTATACATAAAATAAATTCCCCCCACTTTATAGAAGAAGGAGAGGCATTGTATCAAGTGGGAGAAAACCAAGGCCATGAGTAAACATGAATTTGCCTAGAGCAGCAGTATCAGTAAGAAGTTGATAAAGAGAAGTGGGCTTGTGCCCTATTCCTCGCTATCCTTCTTCTGTGGCTCTGCCAAAGCGAAGCGAATAGAACCGATATGAATAACATTAGCCCTGCACATTGTTATGTGAGATCAAACTTTCATATATTGCATTAAAAATAATAAATTTTAATAAATCATACATTTAATTGTACTAGATCTCAATAACGCATGCTTTGCGCGCGATTATTTGTTATTGTCAATTATCTGCTACGCTTAAATACTCATGTAATTTTATGTAATGAGGGAGTATCAAAAAATTAGCCGACCGAGGGCCGCAGGTATGTTGGCCTGTCTCTGGTGTGTAAAGTATATATACATACTGTTAGTATATATGGTCACGTTATATATATATCTTCATGGTTTT